TAAAGTAACAAGTATAATACAAATGAATATAGATGACCAAATGGTTGAAGATAAAAATATTATAGTGGAAAAGTTTAATGAATATTTTTGTAATATTGGTCCGAATCTGAAAAAAAATATTCCTAACAGTCAAACTGATTTTCATGACTACTTAGTAGAACCTAACATGCAAAGTTTATTTCTGGTGCCCACAAATGAAGAAGAATTGCTTGGTATTGTTAGAGCCCTCAAGAACAAGAAAAGTCCTGGGTATGATCATATTGGGAACGAACTTATTAAGCAAGTTATTGTCGGTATCCTTCAACCACTAGTTCATATTTTTAATTTGTCTATGTCAAGGGGAGTTGTACCGATAAACATGAAGATCGCAAAAGTTGTACCAATTTTTAAAAAAGGTGACTCTCAATTACTGACAAATTATCGTCCGATTTCTTTGTTAACCTGTTTTTCAAAAATTCTGGAAAAAATTATTTATGTAAGAACTATAACATTTTTAAACAAAACATGTGTCTTCAGTAATTATCAGTTTGGTTTTCGGGAGAAGCATACAACAACACATGCAATCTTACACCTTATAGATAAACTTGCTTCTGCCTTAGATAGTCGCTTACACACCATTGGTACATTTTTAGACTTTTCCAAGGCCTTTGATACTGTAGACCATGAAATTCTCTTAAGTAAATTATGTCATTATGGTGTCAGGGGAGTCGCCTTGGATTGGTTTAGAAGTTATCTAACTGATAGAAAGCAATATGTGTCCTTAAATGGAATTGACTCTAGTCCCCAAAAAGTAACATGTGGTGTTCCCCAGGGATCCATTTTGGGACCACTTTTATTCATTTTGTATATTAATGATTTTCAACGCTCATCAAGTGTATTATCATTCATATTTTTTGCTGATGACTCAAGTGTATTTTTTTTCTCATAGATGTCCACAAACATTGTTGAAAACTGTTAATGAAGAGTTTCGAAAAGTAATGAAGTGGATTAATGCTAATAAGTTATCCTTGAATCTTCAGAAAACTAATTATATACTGTTCAGTAATTCAGTTAATATTTTGCCAGGCGAAGTGGCATTCAATAATAACCCAATTGAGAGAGTAACTTCAACGAAATTTCTTGGAATATACATAGACGAGAAACTGAATTGGAAAACTCATGTGGACAAATTAAGTAAAGTGGTGTCAAAAAATACTGGTGTTATTTATAAGTTGAGATCATGTATACCTCAAGAGGTATTGTTCATTTTGTACTCTACTCTTATTTTATCATATATCAATTATGGTATGTTGGCATGGGGCAAATCATCCAAAACTCAAATCCACAGGCTTTTTGTAGTGCAGAAGCGGGTTATTAGAATAATTTGTAAAGCAAATTATCGTGCACATACAAATCTACTTTATTATGAAAACAGTATTCTAAAACTAGAAGATCTCTATTCAATGCAACTTGGAATGCTCATGTTTAGCATTCACTCTGGAGACCTCCCTCCTGCCCTTGCTCAAATCTTTAGAAGAAATAACCAAATTCACAGCTATAATACTAGACAGGCTTCTGCTCTCCATTTACCATATGCAAGGACAACCTTCACTTTGAATACACTAATGTCCACTGGCCCCAGGTTCTGGAATTCACTTGATACTACCATAACAAATGCTTCAAGTATCTCAGTTTTTAAACGTAGACTTAAGTCATATTTTCTTGACAAGTATGTCGATGACACATGAATGTGTTATCAAGCTTTATTGTTAGTGTACTGTAGCATATTTAACTCTACTCTTGATCTTTTTTTCGTTAATTCTTGACTTTGACATATAACCCCCTTTATCCCTTTTCTTTTTTCTTCTTCTTTCTCATCTGTACATACTACATATACCATATATTCCTACTTGACCTCTGCACTCAGAGAGCAATAACTCATTGATGTCTCGACTTGGTGTCGGCTTGGGTTTGTCCATATTAGATCATATTAGATGCAACGTTGGGTAGTTGTTCTCTGAGAGTATTTTGTAAATAGTTTTATATATTCCATATTTGTTGTTGTATTCATAAATAAGTTATCTTTGTCACATCATATGAGGGGGCCTTAACTTAACAAGCTGTGCTTCAACCAAGGTCTCCTCGTCTTCCTTTGTTCTACATTGTACTGTTATGATTATACTCTATTATATTTTGTCACATGTGTTTTCTGGAAGACAAATAAACTTGATACTTGATACTTGAATATTTCTTTGATATGTTTAATGAAGGGCTCGATTAGTTTGCATTCTATAAATGCGTGATTTATATCCTCTTTTATATTACATGCTGGGCATACATCGTCATTGGATATTCCCCATTTGAAAAGATGACTTCTTACTGGCAATAGGTTATACAGTAATTTCAAATTAAACTCTCGTAATTTGCTTTCTCTAATTTGAGCAAGATTACGCTTGAATACCTTAAACCAATCAATATCTACATTAAGTTTTTTTTTCCCAATAACTGCAACATGTGTTAGTTAATACAGTTCTCGAAGGAATGAGTTTATAGAAACGATTGCTACTTATATCAGTAACATGTTTTACCTTATTTGCCACCAACAGATATGGAACATTGTTTTCATTTTCTTGTCTAGTATAATCATGCATAAATTCTTCTTTTAAACTATTGACCCATACAGGAGGTATCGCTCGTTTAAGTCTTGCATAGTCAAACATTGCATTGCATTGCATTTTAAGATTTCTACTTAAAATGACGGAATTTTCTTTTGAACTAGAATATCATTAAGTGTGGTTATATTATAAGAGCAGTTCAGCAGTATATAGCTTGATGCTTCCCAATAAGTTGAACTAGTAAGAAAAAAAAAGTTTTCCACGCTCCATTACTCTCATTGAAAAATCTACCTAACCATTTTAGTCGGAAGCTGAACAATTGCCTTTGTATGTCAAGTATTTTTATACCATCTTTACTGTAGTCTTCCATAAGAGAAACCCTTTTGATTTTTTTCTGTTTTCCCACTCCAAATAAATTTGAATATAATGCCTTCTATCAACTTCAAAATTTTTTGGAGGGATGGAATCAACCATGATCAAGTGAGAAACTTGGCTAAGTGCTAGACTTTTCAGTACCGTGACTCTTCCAAAAATGGTTAAGCTTCTTTTTGTCCAGCTATCAAGAATTTTCCTCAATTTTATCAACTTCTGTTCCCAGTCCATCTTTAGAGCTTCATTATTATTAAAATATATGTAGTGACCTAAGTATCTTATAGGTTTGTGGGACCATTTCAGATCATGATTCTCTAAATTCCAACTTCTATCAGTGTCTCCTAGCCATATCATGGCTGTCTTTTCTTTATTTATTCTTGGACCTGCTACTTCGCCAAACTGATTCAGTTTATGTAAAATTCCATTTAATGAAGTTTCATCCGGAACAAAAAATAATGTGTCGTCGGCATATTGCAACAACTTTAGTTTAAGGTCATACCCGACCATTTCTATTGGTTCAATAATATTATTTTTTCTCACTTTGTTTGCCATGAGCTCGGCAGCTAAGATAAACAGCAGTGCTGACAATGGACATCCTTGTCGTATGCCTCTTTCAACATCAAAACTTTTGGAAATCCAACCATTAACCAATACCGAACTTGAAATATTTTTATATAGGGCAGAGATCCATTTGCGAAATGACTCACCAAAGTTAAACTTTTCTAGACATGAGTTAAGAAATTGTATAAAACAGTCTGTTGTTAGTCTGCTAATAATATGTCAGAAGTCTACAAGTTGTCACCGAGTTGTTTTCTGTCAGTCTTCCCATATATAGGTGTTGTGGTCTTTAGCGACAGCACTGTGGATAACAAGGTACGGGGTACGAATCCCCGTCACAACACTCTTTGGAAGTATATAGGGACGTTCTTCTCCTTTAGTCTGTCAGTAATCTGCTCGTAATAATCTCATTTACCCTGGCAGTAGTATGTATGTTGTCTACACATTTCGTATGATAGTGGTGTGTTAGTAGGCCTGTAGTCATCTCATTTAGACTGTTACTAGTCTTCTCTTTTAGCCTTGGAGTAGTTTGTATGTTAATAATAATAATAAAAACGGTGCTTATAAAGCGCTTACCACCGAAGTCTCTAAGCGCTACATTTAGTCTGATATATATATATAGTTGACTGTTAGTATAGTCACATTCATTTTATTTACAATGTTAATAGTCTGCTAGACAGTGGTAGTATAGTCTTCTTTTTTAATCTGTTACTAGTCTCCCTGTAGTCTATTATTTTCTCCTCAGTTGCCCCCTCTTTCATTCTCTTAGTACTCTGCTAGTTAGTATAAACCTCTCAGTCAGTCTGTTAGAAGTATCTTATGCTCATCTGATTTACTAGTTTGCTGGTAGTATCCCAGCAATCGGCTAATCATTTTCTAGAGGTCTGCCGGTAATAAATAATAATAATAATGGGTTCTTGTCTGGTTGTGTTCAGTAGTCCTCTAATTTATTTATTGAATTGCCTATTCATTTCTCCATGGTTACATGCCACGATCATGAGATTAACGAACGATAGTAGTAGACTTTAAAAAGGCAGTTGCAATTATAATACATTTACATTAATAATGCATTGGAGAAACACGCAGATGTTTGGCAACGTAAGCCTTTGACTTAAAACGTTGTCAAACCTTTACCATTCAATTTGACATATATTCTTCAAGTGATACAAAACAAACATACTAAACATTCTCAATACTAAATATTAATACTGAATACTAATGGCAATAGCTGAAATAACGAATTAGACTAGAGTAGCCCTTATCTGTTTAAAATACAGTTAAAGCATGCAATGCGATACCCTCATTTCCCCAGTGTATGTGTAAAATTGAAATAATTTATGTTAAGATAAGAGGAATATTTGTATGGTTGTAACAAAACGAGATGATTGCATATTGTAAATTTGAGGTATTTATGGGCCTATCCGCACGTTTGAAGGAGGGCGTGGTTAATCCGATTTTAGTTTGCTAATAATTTACCTTTCTTCACCAACAGGTTCGGCTGCCTTTCCCTATTTCTTCAGCACGGTAGCAAAACGTTGGAGAAGCTCCAAAAGGCACAACTGCACGGTATGAAAACACTGCTAGTACTGCCGATATTGAGGGCGCATAGACATTATCGCTTCTATGGCGCGAAGATAAATCTAATGGTACTCGCGTACGTAAATTGAGGATTCACATCATTATGTTCCCGACTTCCGTATTTGATCGGTTTAAGGCATTATAAATGAATATTTATATAATATTGGATGGCTTTGAGTGTGATACAAGAATATATTGCTCGAGCTATGAAAATATTGAACGGGTCGGAGACGAGTCCAATATTGTCATAACGAGAGCAATATCAATTCTTGTATCAGACGAAAACAAAACCATTATGTTCCCGACTTCCGTATTTGATCGGTTTAAGGCATTATAAATGAATATTTATATAATATTGGATGGCTTTGAGTGTGATACAAGAATATATTGCTCGAGCTATGAAAATATTGAACGGGTCGGAGGAGTCCAATATTGTCATAACGAGAGCAATATCAATTCTTGTATCAGACGAAAACAAAGCCATTATAATATTAGTATTATTATTATTTGTATCAGGCTGACTAGCGAAATTAGACCTACCTCGGTAAATATCATTTGTTGTGTGTTTGATATCGTTAGTTGAAAGCGACTGAGCAATACGAAGACAATCAGTCATCCGGGTACTGCGCTTAAGATATTGAACACATTGATTTATTGTACCACTTGGAGGCCTTATAAACATAATAATATTTGTATACTACTCCCATTCCAAAACTCGTACCCAGACAACCGCAATGATAATTATTCTGAAGAGCATCCCGTCAAATCGATTTATGTCTAATTGACTTTTCGGCGCTTTTCATATGCAGTCATGAATGTCGGTAGCCAATACATACACCATTCCCCTAAAACATTATGTACTTAGTAGACTTACGCAGTATAATGGAAGATAATTATGTTATTGTAATTTATTGTCTCACTTTTTCGAAAACCTTGCCAACATTGCCCATGCATGGATACAAAATGTTGAATGACAACATAGTTACGTCTTTGTGGGCCGGGTGTGATAAAAAGAGTGATCTTTACATGTTGCGTTGCTTGGCCACTCATCCAGGCATCATAATCGAGGCCAGAGTTTGGGAGAATTTAATGTGTGTGTAAAGGGTTTGGGGGTAAAGCGAATGTCAATATGGATAGAATGGGAGGTCATATTTGCATTTGCAAATCACATTCCCCGATGATATCTATACTCTTTTCCTTCACATCATTGGCGAACGATAAAAAATTATCTGAATTTGAATCTGATTTCCTTGTTGACTGTATCTGAAATAACTCGGGGGTTAATGATATATATCGGTGAAACCATATCTACAACCATTTCTGACAGTTGACAGTTGAAAACAGATTGAATGTTTATAATTAAATAATAATGATGATAATGATTTAATTCAATTCAATTCATTTATACACTCATTATATAAAAGCAGATACATAAAATTGTGTACGAACGCATATGACAAAATATAAAAAGATAAACATAGTCAGGAGTTGGAAGCACAAGTAACATCAATTGAGTGGGGATCAGATTAAAGATCTATTAAAGATCTTGTGAATTCGATCCCATTGTGATTTATAAATTGCATTGAATAGTGTTGCATGTACAACAACAGGAGGGAATAAATGCATGTACATGCATGTACACAGCTGGCTGGGTCAGGAGAAACGAGAGAGAGAGAGAGAGAGAGAGAGGAAGGAAAATTGAGTGAGAGAAAGGCAAGATGAAAAATAAAGTTAATGAATAGAATGAAATTTGACCCAAGCAGAATAAAACCCATACAAACCAGCGATATTACAATAACATTCTTTGCATTGTCTCTTGAATACGTTTTGAGAGCATGCAGCTTTTAGTTAGCAGGCAATGCATTCCTGCATAGTAAATGTTTTTGTGAGAAACTGACGTACTGGAAAATCTGCATTTGAACAAGTGGATTGCAGAGTTAATGAAAAAATAGCGTCAGGGATAATGGCAAGATCTGTCTCCAACAAGAAAACATAAACATGGCCAGTCATAATTTATACAAATCGAACACTTTCAAAAGTTTTAATTGAATAAATAAAGTTTTAGAGGAGGCAAGGAAAAACATTTTACAAATTATCCTCACTGCTCTTTTGTGCAACCTATATTTTCTCTTGAGAAGCTGAGGCCGAGACAATATTGCAATACATATGAAAAGGATAAATTAGTGTATAGTATAGAGATAACAAAATATTTTTAGGCAAGTAAGTTTAGCTTGTTCATGACACCAATATTTCTTGAAATTGATGTACATGTAATTACATGGTCGTGCCAACGCAATTTGTCGTCAATTTGAATTCCTAGAAATTTTGTGTTAGATTCTATTGTGATTTCAGAGCCATCTAAATATATCTCATAATTGGAAATATCAATATTTCTTTTGGCGAAAATCATTATATGAGTTTTGTTTGCATTTAGAAGAAGCTTGTTAAAGGTAAAGACCAGTTATGGTCATGCGATTGCATTGTGAAAGAAACGTTGTGGAATCGATCAGAAAAGGTTGATCATCTAGCATCTAGCATCTGCAAGGTTCTGGAATCATCAAAATGATAAGAAATTTGGCCCATTCTTCGTAAAGTTACAAGCACTATACACAGAAAGATGTATATGGGACTACCCTATATCTCTCACAGACCATGAGAGAAACAAATTTACCAAATATATGAATTAATAGGCGGTTTTCCGGCAAATTTTTTATCATCATGTATTAGTCAAAACATATTCTTTCACATGATTGGTAATGAGAGCTTCCATTTCATTTTTTGAAATTGGGGCGTTTCCAATACTGGTCTTTACCTTTAACTTTGAGCCAATGGGCGACATGATAATGATAATGATAGCGATAATTATAGTAATAATTATAACAATAATAATAATAATGATAATAATAATAATAATAGAAATGATAGTAATGATAATGATAGTGTTAATGATAATAACGATAATAATGATATTATTATTATTATTATAATAATAATAATTTCAATGATATTAATAAACCTATTAATCAATGTAATTTGGTAAGGCGCCTTATACACGTGAAATCAAATGCTCAGGGCACTCTAGACTAGTGCTAACTATGAAATCACATAAAAACACTATAAACAATAGACCTGTAGACCATGGAAATATGATGCTTTATAATTTATGATATAAATTTTACTCATAAAATATTAAGTGTATAGCAGTGTAACACCACCTTGAGTAATAAGTTGTTTTACTGGGAATCGAAACATTAGGCTTGTTCCGTTTCCTGTATTAAAAACGACTCCAAATATGTTCTGAATTTAGTTCATTTTGCATGTTTTGATATTATTGCTCTTTTCCTTTCTCATGATTTGTTGTGAATGCTGTGATTTGAGGCATAATGTAAGTATTATGACCATGGATTTCACTCGCTCTATGATATATTGCATTTCTTGTGACATTATAATGTGTTATGTTTTCTTTTGTACCCTTGTTGTTTCTTAGACCACCTTTTACGTAATGTATTCTTAGGTAGTCACAAATATATACTCACATAATGTTTATCTTGTTGCTTATTCATGTACCAACTATACCAGAGGCCGCGGAGCGACTTCTTAATTGGGGGGGGGGGGGCACCAACAAAAAGGGAACCTTCAAAGGGAAATCTCAAAGCGAAAATATTCAATATTTTAATGATGAGAGGAAAAGGGGGCACTTATAAGAAGGAATAGGAGCATTTATTAGGAAGGACAAGGGGGACGTGTCAAAATAAAAGGGCATTTATAAGAGATGGAAAGAGCATTTATCAGGAGGGGAAGGGGGCGCTTATCAAAAGTAAAAAGAGGCGCTTCTCGTGCCTGAAAGGTGAACTTACTAGAGATTAAAAAAAGGCAGTTATGAGAATTGAAAATGGACACTTATTGCAAAGGAAAATGGGAACTTGTTAAAGGAAAAGGGGTACGTGTCAAAATAAAAGGGGCACTTGTCAGAGGTGAAACGGGGAAGGGGCAAGTTAAAAATTAATAGTGTACTTGTCAAAGTAAAAGGGGCACTTCTCACAAAGTTAAAGGGGCACTTTTTCTATGTAAAAAGGGGCAATTTTGGGGTACTTGAAAAAGTGGGGAGGGGGGCACTGTGCCCCCCCCCCCCCCCGGAGCGTAACTCTGACTACTACTACTGCTACCATGGGCGGCGATATATTTTCGTGACCGGGGGGGGGGGTGCGGGGACGAAATGCAAGGGACGAGGGAGCATATTGTTCACTGTGCTGACGTGATACCAACGGAATACAGGTTTCTGCAACATTTTGAAGGATATTATGCGAGGTAGCGTAGCGACTGGGCGAGAAGATTTTTTTAATTTTTTAGTCCAAACGCTGCACTCTTAGGCCCTTCAGAGCCTAAAAGTGTGTTGCAGTCTTAAGTCAGTATTTGCTATACATTTTTTGACTTTTTCAAATTTTCCGGGGGGGGGGGGAACGATCCCCCCCATAAAAATTTCGAGGGAGAACGTGTCCGTCCCGTCCCCCCGGGACCGCCGCCCCTGACTACTACTACTACTACTACTAGTTCTACTACTACTTCTACTACTAATTCTCCAACTAGTACTATTTCTACTACTTCTACTCCTACAACAACAACCACTACTATATGTACACGGTACGGCATCAGCCACGATATGAATGCCTTCATCATGCATGCATGGATGGAGGGATGAATGGTCCCGTTATAATTGAAACGATTCTGGGAGTAACGTCGAGACAACAATGAACAAAGCCATAGCATATTATTATTTTCTATTCAAAAGGGGGAATGTCCACGCACAGAAGCTGTCTAATGGAACATGAGTAATAGCCTCTCACGGTAGGGGCGTAGTGAGGGTTCTGTCTGGAGGGGTAGGGGGAGCACCCGCCTATACAAACAAATATCATATGGGGATGGGAAGGAGAGGATGTCGTGAGTTGTTTCTATAGATGTTATCTTCTTTTCATGTCCTCCCTATCTCTTT